GACGAATTTATTTATTATTTATCATGTCAGAAGTAAGTTGAAGATACAGTACAGGTAAAATGCATTTAAAAACACAAACAAAGTTTAAAAAAGAACTTGGCATTATGCTAAATGTCCTTTGACCAGAAGTTGGCCACTTGGGAGTGTCTCCGGTGTTGCTGCAAGAAGGTCCTCCATTGTGCACGTGGCAGGGCTCAGGCTGCATTGTAGTAGGTGGTCTGTGGTTTGCTCTTCTCCACACTCGCATGTCGTAGACTCCACTTTGTAGCCCCATTTCTTAAGGTTTGCTGAATAACCCTTGACTTATCTGCGGGCCATATCAAAATCCATAATTTTGGTCCTAAAATCTGCCCCTCGATTTATACACGAGGTTGACTTATTTGTTGTTCATTTGTTCAGTTGCTTCCGACTCTTCATGACTTCATGAACCAGCCCACGCCAGAGCTCCCTGTTGGCCATCACCACCCCCAGGTCCTACAGTGTAGACGCACCCGTAAACAAACACTCCAGTTCATGTCACACTGGAAATATTCATTAACATATGGATGGGTTGTTGTTTTTCGGGCTATATGGTCATGTTCTAGAAGCAACCACACGACCTCTGAGGATGACTGCTATAGATGCAGGCGAGACATCACGAGAGAATGCTTTTAGAACAGTGGTTCTCGACCTGGGGGTCGCGACCCCCACGGGGGTCGCTTGGCCATTTTGGAGAGGTTGCGAGGTCACCTCCTTTGGCCCTGCCCCCCTCCTCAAAATGGCTCCCCACAGGGCCCAGGCCCTGCCCCCCGAGCTGGGCGACCCAAGTCTGTGGAAGTCAGAGGTACTGTAGATCCCATCATCCATTGTCCAACCTCCCCAAAACATGTTGTGTCCCTGATTAATCACTATGCTTTAATTATGTTCAATTTGTAACAATGAAAATACATTTACATTATGATTCATAACAGTAGAATGAATCTAAAGTAGCAACGAAAATAATTTTATGGTTGGGGGTCACTACAACATGAGGAACTGTATTTAGGGGTCACGGCATTAGGAAGGTTGAGAACCACTGTTTTAGAACATGGCCATTGTTGTTCATTCGTTCAGTCGTTTCCGGCTCTTCGTGACCTCATGGACCAGCCCACGCCAGAGCTCCCTGTTGGCCGTCACCACCCCCAGCTCCTTCAAAGTCAAGCCAGTCACTTCAAGGATACCACCCACCCACCTTGCCCTTGGTTGGCCCCTCTTCCTTTTTCCTTCCATTTTCCCCAGCATCATTCTCTTCTCTAAGCTTTCCTTTCTTCTCATTATGTGGCCAAAGTACTTCATCTTTGCTTCTAACATCCTTTCCAACTTATACATTGACTTATTCATGAGTATATACTTTTTTATACATGAGTATATACTTTTTTTAAATCACCCATTTCTTGTAGGGTGCCCCTTAAAAGGCTAAACTGACTTGAAACTGGATGCAAACATATAAGTTTACTCCTTCACTCAGAATCCCCAAGCTCTTCTCCAAAATATGGCGAAAATCAGGCGTAACGGCAGCTGGGAGTGGCACAAAATCACTTCCGGTGAACGTAAATGTGACAATAAGGCAATGATTCTCAACCTTCTGAATGCCGCAACCCCTTAATACAGTTCCTCATGTTGTGGTGACCCCCAAACATAAAATTATTTTTGTTGCTACTTCATAACTGTAATGTTGCTACTGTTATAAATCATAACATGGGGTTGGGGGTGGGATTGATTTTGTCATTTGGGAGTTGTAGTTGCTGGGATTTATAGTTAACCTACAATCAAAGAGCATTCTGAACTCCACCAACGATGGAATTGAAGCAAACTTGACACACAGAACTCCCCTGACCAACAGAAATTACTGGAAGGATTTGGTCTGCATTGACCTTGAGTTTTGGAGTTGTAGTTCACTTACATCCAGGGATCACTGTAGACTCAAACAATGATGGATCTGGACCAAACTCTACACGAATACTCAATATGCCCAAATGTGAACAGTGGTGGAGTTTGGGGAAAATAGACCTTGACATTTGGAAGTTGTGGTTGCTGGGATTTCTAGTTCACCTACAATCAAAGAACCTTCGATAGAATTGGGTGAAACTTCCCACACAGAACACCCATGACCAACAGAAAATATTGTGCTTTCTGATGGTCTTTGGCGACCCCTCTGACACCCCCTCGCAACCCCCCAGGGGTCCCGACCCCCAGTGTGCACTAAGGGGCACACTGGAAATGGGCAAAATCACTACTCCATGGCATCTCTCACAGCTTCATGCTCCTAGGAGATGTTGGTCCTTCAAGTAATCTGGTCCCAAGCTGTTCATGCCTTTCAAATTGGGGGGGGGGGGGGTCCCACAAATGACACATGCTCAATGCCATGGAATCGTGGGAATTGTTGTTTGGTGAGGCACAGCACTCTGTCAGAAGCTATAGAGTTTTTAGAACTACAATTCCCAAGATATCATAGCATCGAGCCATGGCAATTCAACTAGCATCAAACAGCATTAATTCTACACCTAATTCTACTTTTATTTGACCCAAATTGACCAGTTACATTCACTGGATGACTCAAAGTCTTTCTACTGCAGTGGTTCTCAACCTTCTTAATGTCACGACCCCTTAATACAGTTCCTCATGTTGTGGTGACCCCCAAGCAAAAAAAATATTGTTATTGCTACTTCATATCTGCAACTTTGCTACTGTTATTATGTAAATATCTGATATGCAGGATGTATTTTCATCACTGGATCAAATTTGAATACTGGTGGGGTTGGGGAGATTAATTTTGTCATTTGGGAGTTGTAGTTGCTGGGATTTATAGTTCACCTACAATCAAAGAGCATTCCGAACTCCACCAACGATGGAATTGAAGCAAACTTGGCACACAGAACTCCCATGACCAACAGAAATTACTGGAAGGATTTGGTTTGCATTGACCTTGAGTTTTGGAGTTGTAGTTCACCTACATCCAGAGTGCACTGTGGACTCAAACAATGATAGATCTGGACCAAACTTGGCATGAATACTCAGTATGCCCAAATGTGAATATTGGTAAACTCTGGGGAAAATAGACCTTGACATTTGGGAGTTGTAGTTGCTGGGATTTATAGTTCACCTACAATCAGAGAATTATGAATCGCACCAATGATAGAATTGGGCGAAACTTCCCACACAGAACCCCCATGACCAACAGAAAATGTTGTGTTTTCTGATGGTCTTTGGCGACCCCTCCAAAAACCCCTCGCGACCCCTCCAGGGGTCCCGAACCCCAGGTTGAGAACCACTGTTCTACTGAGAAAAAGTAAAAATTAGTCCCCTTCCTAATGCATCCCTGTATATACCTCTGCCATTTAAACACTTTCCATTTTACTCTTTTTCTCATAAAAACAAAAGCCTATATAATCAAACACATTAGTTTTTCTTCCATCTTTAGGTACACATACACTGTAGAATAAATGCAGTTTGACACCACTTTAATTGACATGGTTTATGCTATGTATGTAGTTTTTCCAGGCCTTTAGCCTTCTCAAGAGTTGTTGTAGGTTTTTCCGGGCTATATGGCCATGTTCTGGAGGCAATTTTTCTCCTGACGTTTCGCCTGCATCTATGGCAAGCATCCTCAGAGGTAGTGAGGTCTGTTGGAACTAGGAAAATGGGTTTATATATCTGTGGAATGACCAGGGTGGGACCAAGGACTCTTGTCTGTTGGAGCTAGGTGTGAATGTTTCAACTGACCACCTTGATTAGCATTTGATGGCCTGGCAGTGCCTTGGGCAATCTTTTGTTGAGAGGTGATTAGATGTCCTTGTTTGTTTCCTCTCTGTTGTCTCTGTGTAGTCTGACATGGTGGTTGTGAGAGATTCCCCCCAGGCGCTTCCAGGCCATTGAATGCTAATCAAGGTGATCAGCTGAAACATTCACACCTAGCTCCAGCAGACAAAGGTCCTTTGTATCACCCTGGTCATTCCACAGATATATAAACCCATTTTTCCTACTTCCAACAGACCTCACTACCTCTGAGGATGCTTGCCACAGATGCAGGTTTTTCCTGCGTCAGGAGAAAAATTGCCTCCAGAACATGGCCATATGTAATGAAAACTACCTTTCAGTCGACTAGGCCGAAGCCTGCATGACAGTGGCTGTCATCTTGGAAGGCAGGCAGGACAGGAGGAGGAGTCAAGCTGACTCCTGATTGGGTATAGCAATTGGGGGAGGAGTCGGTTTAGAGAGAGAAAATAAGCTGCCAGATTTTGACAGAGAGAGAAGGGTCTTGACTTAAGACAGAGAAGGTTGAGATTTCAAGATAGGAAGTTACAGCAGGGATCTGACAGAAAAGGAAGAGCTTTTAGTGAGCCTTAAGTTTAGGGAAATAGGCTGAGACAATAGGCTAGTATTTTACTGTGTTGTGAGAGCCAGTAAAAGAAAGATTTGTCTCCTTATACTAGGGACAGTATAGGGGAGCTTATTCTCAACTGATACTGTGTCTAAAGATAGAACAGTATGTTTAAGGAGTCTCACAGTTGTTAAAAGCTTTTCTGTCAGGGGAACTATTTGTTTTAGTAACCAAGTTTCTGCAACTGAATCACGCTTCTGTACCACTCATTTCTATGAGTTGTTGTTAATATAAAGTTCAATAAACTCTTTCTAGTTCACTTTCAACTAGTGTATGCCTCAGTCTATCCATTTCCTCAGAACTCACTCTGTCAAACCATTTTAAGGTCCAGTCATCCAGTGAAGAAGCATTAGGTGAACCAAGAGCTCAAACACACCTTACTTACACCACATTCACACTTTTGGTTCCTCAGGCCAATAATTCTGAGGTGGTGGCGGCTAATACTACCAAGAACATTTGGTCATTTACATATTCAACATAGGGTCAGCCTTTAATTTCGCTATATTGGTGGCAGCGGTGTGATTGTTTGTCCACCCTGCCTCAGATATTCTTTTAATTTTGCTATACCATATAGCCTGGAAAAACCTACAGCAACCCAGTGATTCCGGCCATGAAAGCCTTCGACAATATTTCTCAAGAGTGCTAGTGGCCCTCCAAAGAACAACTCCCAGGACTGAGCCATGGTAATTCAAGTGATATCAAACTGCATTCATTCTACACTGCAGATTTACCCTAGGAGATCTTCCTACTTGATTTGCATCCACTCCAGTGTGATCTTTCCTATGAGCACTTCAAAGCTCATTCAGTTTTCCATTCCACACGCTGAAAACGAAGAGTTGCAAGGCTTTCCTATGCTTAGTGCTTGCTCTCTCTCCTCTTTAGTTTTCTCAGTTCCCGGAGTTCTTTCTTCAGATGTTTTACAGCTTGCAAAATCTGCCCTTGCTGGGGATCGTCTGAGGCTTTTTCTGTATAAAGGAGGAAATGTTTGATGGTTTCCGAGAGCAGGACTTCCGGGTCTTCCCTCGGTGGGTGCAAGCGCAACATCCTTTCGCAAGCGATGGCGTAGTTTTTGTGCCAGTTCACTGGGTGGGATCCATGAGCAGTTATGATCTCCTTGTACATCTAAGGAAAGGAAGGAAGGGAAAGGAAGAATTCAGAATTCAGTGTTGCTGGCATTTCCACCCTCCAGAAATGTCACATGCTCACACAATACTTATTATTTTAAAATAATAAAGCTTGTCATAAAAAGCATTATTAAAAACAGATTTGATGCCAGAAAACAGGTTGTCAACTTTGTGGAGTAAAGGTAAAGGTTTCCCGTGACATTAAGTCTAGTCGTGTCCAACTGGAGAGTGGTGCTCATTTCCATTTCTAAACCGAAGAGCCAGTGTTGTACATAGACACCTCCAAGGGCGTGTGGCCGGCATGACTGCATGGATAACCATTACCTTCCCGCCAAGGCGGTACCTATTGAGCTACTTATATTTGCATGTCTTCAAACTGCTAGGTTGGCAGAAGCTGGGCTTATTGGACTACTGCAACGCTCTCTATGTGGGGTTGCCTCTGAAGACTGCCCGGAAGCTGCAATTAGTCCAACATTTGGGATACAGGGAGCGCACAACCATTGGCTGCCAATTAGCTTCTGAGCACAATTCAAAGTGCTGGTTTTAACCTACAAAGCCCTATACAGTTCCGGCCCGTTTACCTGTCTGAACGTATTCTCCCCTATGAACCATCAAGACAATTAAGATCTTCTGGTGGGGCCCTGCTCTCAGTCCCACCACTTTCGCAATTGCGTCTGGCAGGAACGAGAGGGCCTTCTCTGTGGTGGCCTCTCAGCTATGGAACTCTCTCTTGATTGAGATCAGATCTGCCCCCTCCCTCCTGATCTTCAGGAGGCTAGTGAAATCCTGGCCATGGAATGAAGCATTCCCAGAATAATGGCTGAGACCGGCTACAGAAAAAAGTTATCGAACGCACATACGGACTGAGTTGGACATAATTTTATCTTGGCGATTTGGCTTATATGTAATTTATTCTATATGTATTTTAACCTGTTGTACGATGTTTTTAGACTGTATTATTAGCATTGAATCCTTGCTGTGAGCCGGTCTGAGTCCCTCTACGGAGGTTGAGAAGATCGGGATATAAAAGTTTTAAATAATAAATAATAATACTTTTTAAAAAATAATAATAATAAGGCTTGTCATAAAAAGCATTCTTAAAAACAGATTTGATACTAGAAAACAGGTTGTGGAGTAAAGGAAAAGGTTTCCCCTGACATTAAGCCTAATCATGTCCAACTGGGGAGTGGTGCTCATTTCTATATCTAAGCCGAAGAGCTGCCATTGTCCATGGACACCTCCAAGGGAATTGTGGCTGGCATGACTGCATGGATAATCGTTACCTTCCTGCCAAGGCAGTACCTATTGATCTACTCACATTTGCATTTTTTTGAACTGCTAGGTTGGCAGAAGCTGGGCCTAACAGCAGGAGCTGACCCCGCTCATGGGTTCGAATTACCAACCTTTTGGTCAGCAAGTTCAGCAGCTTAGGGGTTTAACCCGCTGCACCACAAGGGGACCCAACCTTGTGGAAAGGTGGGCAAAATATGGTACCATTAGTGTTTGTGGTACGATAGACAGATCAATGAGCTTTCAAAAACTGCCATGTGGCTACAAGTTCACAACAGGTAAAGCAGAAGCCAAAATGTTTGGCTAACTAACTGAATTATTTGTTAATCACTCCAATAAATGCTGCAAGTCGCTTCTGGTGCACCACGAGATGCAGAGCCAACCTTAAGAAATGGGGCCACAAAGTGGAATCCACGACATGTGAATGCAGAGAAGAGCAAACCACAGACCATCTACTACAATGTAGCCTGAGCCCTGCCACATGCACAATGAAGGACGGAACCCTGCTGATGGCACTCCACTCATCACTTCTTTCCAGGATGAAGAGGAAGCCTTGGGGAGAATCACCCCCTTGGTTTGTCCATTTAACCAATTACAGATCCACCTCACCGTAGTTTTGCCTAGCCCACATTGGACTAGTTTCCTTGCCAGAAGGTCATGGGGGACCTTGTCAAGGCCTTACTGGAATCCAGGTTCGCTACATCCTCGGCATTCCCCGCATCTACCCAGTTTGTAACTCTATTGAAAAAAAGAGATCAGATTAGTCTGGCATGACTAGTTTTTGATAAATCCGTGCTGACTACTATTAGCGATGACCGCATTTGTTTCTAAATGTTTGCAGAATACTTCCTTAACAATCTTTCCCAGAATCTTGCTTGGTATCGACGTGAGGCTGACCGGACGGTAATTGTTTGGGTCATCCTTTTCCCCCTTTATTTACTTAAGGGTGCTTACTTATACTCCAATCTTCGGCCACTAAGGTTCTCAGAATGGTTTACAAATTCTTTAATTTTGTTGCCTTAACGTTGAGCTTGAAAACACATAACAACAACAACTAGTTAAAGTGTAACCCTGGTTTCTGCACTTTCTTCCTGGACTATCCTCAATGGCTGCTCCAAGTTTTTGCTATTTTCCGCTAGTAACACGGTGTCATCTGCGAGGCTTAAATGGTTGACATTCCTTCCATCAATTGTCACGCCTCCTTCTTCCAAACCTAATCCAGCTTTCCGATGACACGTCGAGTGTATAAATTAAACAGACAGAGTGACAAAAATGCAGTCTCGTTTGATCCTCTTGCCAAGTGGAAACCATACTGTTTCTCCATATTTCTCTTGTAACTGATGTTTCTTGTCCTGAGCTCAGGTTTCACACCACCACAATCCAACGTTGCAGCATAAACAGGTTTTCAGAAGTTTTTCAGGATCTACAAAATGTTGGAAGTGAAGAAGCATCAACACTTAGGTAGAGAGCAACTAGGGAGAGAGGGAACTGCCTTGTTTTCACCTCTGTTTATTAGATCTATGGAACTCAATGTGTTTTGTTTCCCGTCTACATGTATATATCATCCCCTCTTCTTCTCAAAAGTCTTTAGTGCTTTATTATCCTTTGTTTGAGGAGAATGTACCATGCCAGATGAACCGTATCTCTCTTTTTCATAGAGTTACAATCTTGGTAGATCTGTGAGTTGTTGTAGGTTTTTTCGGGCTATATGGCCATGCTCTAGAGGCATTCTCTCCTGATGTTTCGCCTGCATCTATGGCAAGCATCCTCAGAGGTAGTGAGGTCTGTTGGAACTAGGAAAAAGGGTTTATATATCTGTGGAATGACCAGGGTGGGACAAAGGACTCTTGTCTGCTGGAGCTAGGTGTGAATGTTTCAACTGACCACCTTGATTAGCACCTTGATTAGAGTCCTTTAGAACCCCCATAATCAACTGTGTTTTCTAATAGTCTCTGGTGACCCCTATTTTCCCCCCAAACTCCACCAATGTTTACTGGGGAGCGAATTCCATAGGCGGGAGGCCACCCCTGGACATGTGGGAGTTGTACTTGCTGGGATTTATAGTTCACCTACTATCAAAGCGCATTCTGAACTCCACCAATGTTGGAATTGAGCCAATGTTGGCACACTGAACTCCCATGACCAACAGAAAATACTGGAGGGGTTTGGTGGACATTGCCCGTGAATTTTGGAGTTGTAGTTCATCTACATCCAGAGAGCACTGTGGACTCAAACAATGATGGATCTGGACCAAACTTGGCATAAATACTAAATATGTCCAAATGTAAACATTGGTGGAATTTGGGGGAAATAGACCTTGACATGTGGGAGTTGTAGTTGCTGGGATTTATAGTTCACCTACAATCAAAGAGCATTCTCACCCGCAGCAACGATGGAATTGAACCAAACTTGGAACACAGAACTCCCATGACCAACAGAAAATACTGGAAGGGTTTGGTGGGCACTGACCTTGAGTTTTGGAGTTGTAGTTCACCTACATCCAGAGAGCATTGTGGACTCATACTATGATGGATCTGGGACAAACTTGGTATAAATAGTCAATATGCCCAAATGCAACCATTGATGGAGTTTGGGGAAAATAGACCTTGACATGTGGGAGTTGTAGTTGTGGGATTTATAGTTCACCTACAATCAAAGAGCATTCTGAACCACACCAGTGTTAGAACTGGGCCAAACTTCCCAAACAGTCAAACAGTCATGTCTTTCTTCTCTCGTTTGAAAAAGGGACTTTTGCAGCCTGAATTTCTTTTAACCGAAATCTCTCCTTCTGCTCCAGGGTGAGTTTACAAACAAGAACATGTGCATGAAGCGGAGGACAACAGAGGCCCTTCTCCGCAGGAGGTGCTGGAAAGGAACGCTTCCCAACCTGGACACGAGTGCCGTTGCGCTCAGCGCATCTCAACGGGACATACATCTGCCACACCTCACCCTTCCCTCCTCTCCATCCGGAGACAATGAAAAGAGAGACGGGGAGGGAGAAATACGCAGCCTCGGCAGCTGGCCGCTTGGAGTCAAGTGCAACGGCTTAATTTTTTGTTTTCTAAATCTCCATCTCTCTCCCAAATATTAAGAGAAAGTTCCTCATTTCCGCAGAGCTTGAAAGTCTTGATTCTTTGAGCTACAACTCCCAAACCCCTCAGCCAGCAATCCCTCGTTCATTCATGGACTTTAGACACTGGGATCCAAGGTGATTTAGGGTCATCTACACAAAGGCAGGGATTCCAAAGAATTATTTCAGGGTGAATAAAACTTCATTCAGCACTCCAAAATAAATCCTTTGTAGAGGAACAAAACAGAGGGCTTTCAGAGATATTTCCTCAGCTAGGGTGCATCTACATTGTAGAATTAATGCAGTTTAACCCAACTCTCATTCAATGCTATGGGATCTTTGGCACTGTAGTTTGGTGAGGCATCAGCACTCTTTGGTAAAACTACAACTCCCATGATTTCATAGTATTGAACTATGGCAGTTAAAGTGGTGTCAAAGTGGATAAGTTCTTCAGTGGAGAGCAGAGACATCTCCAGCTCATCCCCTGTTTGGGTATCAGCCAGCACGTCAATGACTTAAATCTAGAAATAGTTTTCTAAGATCTACAGAAACACTCGCTGGAACACCTCAGCAAGCGAGAGTCCAAAAGTGGCAGGCTCAAACCCAGAACCTCAACCAATGGCTGATACCAAATGAGAGACTCCCCTGGGCACACAGAGGACTGGGCGACTTGGAAGGCGCTGAACAGACTGCACTCTGGCACCACGAGAAGCAGAGCCAACCTTCAGAAATGGGGCTACAAAGTGGAATCCTCGACATGCGAGTGTGGAGAGGAGCAAACCACTGACCACCTGCTGCAATGCAACCTGAGCCCTGCCACATGCACAATGGAGGACCTTCTTGCAGCAACACCAGAAGCACTCCAAGTGGCCAGATACTGGTCAAAGGACATTTAATCAACTATCAAACTCACAAATTTGTATTTTGTCTGTTTGTTTGCTTTGTTCTGTTAGAAATGTAATATAATTGACTGGTTGCCCTGACACGAAAAATAAAAAAATAAAGTGGAGAGCAGCTGTGTGCGTTTGGGGTAAACCTTGATTCATTTCGTGTCGGGGCTTTCGGTGGGGTCCTTGATCCATTTCATAGAATTATAGAATCATAGAATCCTAGAGTTGGAAGAGACCTCATGGGCCATCCAGTCCAACTGCCAAGAAGCAAGAAAATTGCATTCAAATCACCCCTGACAGATGGCCATCCAGCCTCTGTTTAAAAGCTTCCAAAGAAGAAGCCTCCACCACACTCCGGGGCAGAGAGTTCCACTGCTGAACGGCTCTCACAGTCAGGAAGTTCTTCCTCATGTTCAGATGGAATCTCCTTCCTTGTAGTTTGAAGCCATTGTTCCGTGTCCTAGTCTCCAGGGCAGCAGGAAAGAAGCTTGCTCCCTCCTCCCTGTGTCTTCTTCTCAGTTTCTACTGAGCCTCCCGAAATCGTGAGGGCAGATATTTGTTTTCAGTTTTCAGTGTCAAAAGATTCGTTTTCTTTTGGCCCATTATTTTGGGAGGGGGGTCCCAGTGCATCCTTTTGGACGGGGTTCGCCTCACCTTCATCTAAGGAGTCGAAGGGCTCTCTGGCTGGGGCTGAAGACCTATCATGATTGCTGTCGGTGGGCTTGCTCCGCAACCCAAATGTAGTCCTAAAGTGCCCAGGCCTGAAAGGGCCTGCATCAGGCATCGGGTAAACCACACTCCTTACTCGATGCTCAGCTTCAAGCGCTGACAGGCTGGGCACTTTGGGCCTATGCATGCAGCAATCAATCTGAAAAGCAAGCTTGGAGCTGGCACCCACTTTTGCCTGCCTTTCGTATCGAGATTATTTTCGTTCTAGGAGGGGCCTTCCCGTTCTGTGCCATCTGAATGGACAGAACGAAATGAAAACATGAATCAAATGGATGATACAGATACCGGGCCCATGACTAGTGGAGAGGCACTCTTATAGGAACTGGAAAAAAATAAGTCAATGTCTTATGCTACAAAAACTTTAAAAGAACCAATAAGAGATATTAATGCAGAGTTACGATTAAAAATGCATAATAAGTTTTGTTGTTCATTCGTTCAGTCGTCTCCGCCCCTTCGTGACCTCATGAACCAGCCCATGCCAGAGCTCCCTGTCGGCCGTCACCACCCCCAGCTCCTTCAAGGTCAAGCCAGTCATTTCAAGGATGCCATCCATCCATCCTTGCCCTTGGTCAGCCCCTCTTCCTTTTTCCTTCCATTTTCCCCAGCATCATTGTCTTCTCCAAGTTCCTTTCTTCTCATGATGTGGCCAAAGTACTTCATCTTTGCATCTACTATCCTTCTCTCCAGTGAGCAGTCGAGCTTTATTTCCTGAAGTATGGACTGGTTGGATCTTCTTGCAGTCCAAGGCACTCTCAGAACTTTCTTCCAACACCACAGTTCAAAAGCATCTCTCTTCCTTCGCTCAGCCTTCCTCGTCCAGCTGTCACATCCGTAGGTGACTACGGGGAATATCATTGTTTTAACTATGCGGATCTTTATTGCCAGTGTGATGTCTTTACTCTTCAATATTTTACCGAGATTGGTCATTGCTCTCCTCCCAAGACGTAAGCGTCTCCTGATTTCCTGGCTGCAGTCTGCATCTGCAGTAATTTTTGCACCTAGAAATACAAATTCTGTCCCTGTCTCCATGTTTTCTCCCTCTATTTCCCAGTTCTCAATCATTCTTGTTGCCACCATCTATTTATTTATCTTTTTAATGTAAGGAATAAAAATTGCTTACGCTGTAAGCAAACATGTAAAGCTGGGATTTCACATCTGCGGAGACAGAAGCCATTTCTGCAAGGTCAAAAATGTAGAAGGCTGTTTTCATCCTGGGAAGACAGAAGGAAAGTGTTCATTAAATGTGTGCAAGGATCACATACAGTGTAGAAGTTTGACTACTAGATTAGGATTGTTGGGGGTGCATCTACACTGTAGAATGAATGAAGTTTAACATCACTTTTGATTTCCTGAAGTCCATTGTAACTTCACTGTCCCACTTGGTTGTGGTGGTATTTTGTGGCGCAATGGCACCATGTATGTGGGCAGCTGGGCACTTCCCTTCCATAGTAGTAGCCATTCAGACAGAAGAATGTGTGGTTGTTGTTATGGGAAGTGTAGGTTTGTAGGAGTGGAGTGTTTCCGTGTGCAAACTCTCACCTGGCTTGCCACATTTCCTCGTTGGCTACGGCTTCCCATGAAGTTGTATCAAACCTGAAGAAGAAACACAGAAGTTCTGTTGGGTCAGAGAGATGGTAACCATGAAGACGGTAGGATATTAAATAGGGCTAAGTGGGATTTCTGCCTACCATGCCATTCTGGGGGAACATCAGGGGAAAAGAACATCTGAGAATCTATGTTGGATAGTGAGCCCTCCACATTTATTGAGGTTAGGAGCACAGCGCCCCCACAAAAGTGGAAGAAGCAGAGATAAATGTCAGTGACGTTGGCCGCACAGCAAGGCAGGAACAGATCAATCACAGCCACCTTAGTCTATAAACTACTTTATTTTACAGCTATATACATTAGAAGGTACTTAACACTCAGCACATTGTAAACTTGCTTCTATCCTGACCGATCGTAACACTGGAAACACGCGGACCGTCTGTTATCAGTACTAGTCCACACCTCTTGCATTCCAGAGTGACATTTGCTCTATACACTTGATTTATGGCCTCTCTAGGAATGCTGTTCCCTCCATGGTTCAGTTAACTCCCTTCCACACAGGAATATATTCGGCACAAAGCTACTACATTTTAAACATACATACATACTTTGAAATCTACTTTATAAATTGCAAACAGCTCCAGCAATAAAAAAAAAATAGAAATACATCCTAAAGCAAACATAGCTGCATGTATTGTTGGGCAAGTGGGCATAATAATAAAAGACCCTCCTCATAAATGTATAGCAGAGTAACTTATTAGCAGCAGCGTAACTCAGCACCAGTAGATCAAAGTGATAAAAAGAACAAAAACACACAGACCAATGTTATCTCTTCCATAGGAGGCTTTTCTTTATAACAAAATAATATGGTTGTACTATTTACAAAAACAAGGTTTCCATAACACAAATAAAGTACTTTACACTTCCTTCTTTGCTTCCACGCTGGGCTTCTTTCTCATGCAGAAACAGTTTCGTTCTCACAGACTCTCCTCTCAAAGTTATGCCCACTTGCCACCCAAAGTTACACAGGAGCTTCACACAGTAGCATTTTACACACATAGAATCATAGAATCAAAGAGTTGGAAGACCTCATGGGCCATCCAGTCCAACCCCATTCTGCCAAGAAGCAGGAATATTGCATTCAAATCACCCCAGATGGCCATCCAGCCTCTGTTTAAAAGCTTCCAAAGAAGGAGCCTCCACCACACTCCGGGGCAGAGAGTTCCACTGCTGAACGGCTCTCACAGTCAGGAAGTTCTTCCTCATGTTCAGATGGAATCTCCTCTTGTAGTTTGAAGCCATTGTTCCGCATCCTAGTCTCCAAGGAAGCAGAAAACAAGCTTGCTCCCTCCTCCCTGTGGCTTCCTCTCACATATTTATACATGGCTATCATATCTCCTCTCAGCCTTCTCTTCTTCAGGCTAAACATGTCCAGCTCCTTAAGCCGCTCCTCATAGGGCTTGTTCTCCAGACCCTTGATCATTTTAGTTGCCCTCCTCTGGACACATTCCAGCTTGTCAATATCTCTCTTGAATTGTGGTGCCCAGAATTGGACACAATATTCCAGGTGTGTTCTAACCAAAGCAGAATAGAGGGGTAGCATGACTTCCCTAGATCTAGACACTATGCTCCTATTGATGCAGGCCAAAATCCCATTGGCTTTTTTGCCGCCACATCACATTGTTGGCTCATGTTTAACTTGTTGTCCACGAGGACTCCAAGATCTTTTTCACACGTACTGCTCTCAGCCAGGCATCCCCCATTCTGTATCTTTGCATTTCATTTTTTCTGCCAAAGTGGAGTATCTTGCATTTGTCACTGTTGAACTTCATTTTGTTAGTTTTGGCCCATTCATCTCTCTAATCTGTCAAGATCGTTTTGAATCCTGCTCCTGTCCTCTGGAGTATTGGCTATCCCTCCCAATTTGGTGTCGTCTACAAACTTGATGATCCTGCCTTCTAACCCTTCATCTAAGTCAGTAATAAAGATGTTGAACAGGACCAGGCCGTTCAACACAGCAGCCGTCACACTGGAGCTTTACACACAGTGGCCTTCAACCTGAGGCTTTTCTAACCAAAGCTTCTCACACCAGGTCTACTCATACTGAGGCCTACTAACACTGAGGTCGACCTCACACTGAGGGTTCTCTCAGACTAACACCTCTCTCACACTGAGGTGAACAAACACCAAGGCCTTTCTCCCACTGAAGCCTCCCTCAGACTGAGGGCTTTTCTCCCACTGAGTTGAACTAACACTGAGGCCTACCAACACACTGAAGCCCTTCTTCCACAGAGACCTCTCACAGACTGAGGGCTACTAAGCTACAGGCACACCTGCTTATATTGAACTGCAGCTTTTGCGGAGACATTGCATCCATTTAACCCTTTCACTGCTTGATTCACATTTTTGTAATTAAAAATACCTCGTTAATTTTTACTATTTCTGACATGCATCCCTTCTTTTTTATCCAACCTTCCAAACTTTGATAAGCTGTCACCAATGCCCTGTGGCTTACCTGCCGTACTCCTCGCTCCAGTTGTAGAGATTTCTGGTGCGACTGATCCACTCTCCGGGGTCAAAGGGAGCTCTGGAAGGCACAAGCTTGTCGCAGGAGCCCCACGGCCAAAGGGTATAGTCCTTCTTCCAGGTGGGGTCACCTTCATGGAGCCCAATGCAGACAAAGGCTTCTTTGCTGTTGCAAACAAGAAGCCAGCAGATGGTACATAAGATTTGCACAATTAAATGATTTGTTTCCACTAGCAAGCAAAAGAATGAGGAAGTATTCCATTGGTGTTACAAGTGGATGGTGAAGCAACAGCTCCCCTGGAGGCCAAAATACCCCCATGAAGCTGGAATGTTAAATAGCCTCTGTGTGTCTGTCTATATATGTTATGTGTCTATGGCATTGAATGTTGGCCATGTATATGTACATTGTTATCTGCCCTGAGTCCCCTGCAGAGTGAGAAGGACAGAATATAAATATTGTAAATAAATAAATAAATAAATAAATAAATAATAAAAGCAATCAGCAACAGAATGGTTGCGAGAAATGCAACTCCATCACTGATTCATCACTGAGCCTGGAATCCCAGGTTGCAATGGTGGCCAGGGGAGCGTTCGCACAATTAAAACTGGTGCACCAGTTGCGCCCATACCTTGGGAAGTTAGACTTGGTCATGGTGGTCCACGCTCTCATTACATCTAGGATTGACTACTGCAACGCACTCTACATGGGGTTGCCTTTGAAGACTGCTCGAAAGCTTCAAATAGTCCAACGAGAGGCAGCCAGGTTAATAACTGAGGAGCATACAACTCCCATGTTACGCCAGCTCCACTGGCTGCCAGTTTGCTACTGGGCACAATTCAAACTGCTGGCTTTGGCCTATAAAGCCTTAAACGGCCCCGGCCTAAATTACATGTCCGAACACATCTCCCCCTATGTACCATCGCAGAGATTAAGATCCTCCAGGGGAGCCCTGCTTTCCATCCCGCCATTGTCACAGGCGCGATTGGTGGGGACGAGAGACAGGGCCTTCTCGGTGATTGCTCCCTGGCTATGAAACTCCCTTCCTGGTGAGATCAGATCGGCCCCCTCCCTCCTGTCCTTTAGAAGGATGGTAAAAACTTGGCTGTGGGACCGTATTTTCGGGACAGGGCAATAAAGCGGCAATAGGAAAGATGACCAGGCCAATTAGATTGATGCAGATGACTAGGACGGTTTTGAATGGTGTATTTTAATATTTTGCTAAATGTTTTTTAATGTTTGTGTATGTGAATTTGTGTCCTGGCATTGAATGTTTGCCGTGTATAGGCTGTGCTCCGCCCTGAGTCCCCTTCGGGGTGAGAAGGGCGGAATATAAATGTTTTAAATAAATAAAATAGAATCATAGAATCATAGAGTTGGAAGAAAACAAGCTTGCTCCCACCTCCCTGTGGTTTCCTCTCACATATTTATACATTGCTATCATATCTCCTCTCAGCCTTCTCTTCTTCAGGCTAAACATGCCCAGCTCCTTAAGCCACTCTTCATAGGGCTTGTTCTCCAGACCCTTGATCATTTTAGTCGCCCTCCTCTGGACACATTCCAGCTTGTCAATATCTCTCTTGAATTGTGGTGCCCAGAATTGGACACAATATTCCAGGTGTGGTCTAACCAAAGCGGACTAGAGGGGTAGCATGATTTCCCTAGATAATAAATAAATAAACTCCGGCTAACATTATTATTTCAATAAAAACAATTCAAGGAACACATCAGCTCGCAGAGAAGGCTTCTAAGGATTTCATGGGAAGATGCACTACCCTCCAAAAAGAAATCTGTCCCTCCAAAGCAGTGGTTCGCAACCTTTTTTTTGACCAGGAACCACTTTGACCAGGGACTACTCTCCAACATTAATACCAAAAGGGTTACAAATCAGTTTTTGGTCAACCAGATTATAGATAAATAGTGATGTCTGCAGGGCAAGCATGCAGGACCACATACTCCGTACAAGTTGACACCGTTTTAGAAAAGCTATTATTCAAAAAGGAATACTTACTGTTTATTTACCTTGAGCAAATGATGCAGATTAAATGTGATTGTTCCATCAGGTAACAACCCTTCCGTGGGATTCCAACGGTCTCCAGGGAAATCAACACCAGGCAAATGTTTTGCTAACTTTGGCAAGTACCAATGGTAAGTCATCATCTAGTAAAGCCAAGACAAAATGCAAACACTCTGTAAATTTATAACACTTACATGTTTTATCTTTTCTTTCCCTGAAAATTCCTAAACTGGTAGTGTTGTAGTACAGCATGATAGTAGCGTTGCTACTACTGGGAGAAGGGAGAAGAGGGCTGCTCAGGTGTTGGAGGAGCAGCAGCAGCAGAAGCGAATTAGGGACATCTTCATGGCTCCAACAGATTCTGAGGATTTTGAGGGTTTCTCAGAGTGTGAAATGGAGGAGAGTGAGGAAAGCAGGGGAGTCAAGCAGTCTACTCATGAACCAGATTCAGATGAAGAGCTTCAGAGGAAGCGTATCTGTGATATACTTAGTGCTCCAACAACTGCTGATGAATTTGTGGGTTTTAACAGGAGTGATGGGACTGGGAGTGATGTTGAGGAGGAGGGTGGCTTAGATTGGACCCGTGTACAAGAGATTAGGGATATTTGTACAGAGCCCACATCAAGCGAGGACTTTGAGGGATTCACGGGGAACTGGCAAACTGGGATTACTTGGCAAGATCTAAGTCTTGAAAGGCGCTGGCAACGGTGGAGGGATGGGCAGCAATGGTCAGCTGCGGGGGATGAGGCAGCTGAGAGTGATAATGAGAAAGAAAGGAGTAGCTCTTCTAGCGATGATGACTTATAGGATATACATTGGGTTAAAATCAATGGGTCTTTGCAGAAGGCAAAGTGTCTTATTGTGTTTAGAGCTTTGTTGCTGCCATTACTTTCGTTTTGGGTCCTGGGACTGCAGATCATCAAGCTTCCGTGTTACTCTCGTTGGAAAATCCTGTAAGTGCTGACTGCTTTCTTCCTGCTGACTACAGACTGTTTTTCTGAGACTACGACATCACATTTTGGACTTCTGGCTACTGTTTTGTTCGTGTTTTGACCCTGGACTGTTTTCTGACCTTGTTTTTGTGTGCTTCCACCTTGCTATATCTTGCTCTGTGTGCTCTGTTATTTGCAAGCAGTTTGCTTAAGTTTTTGTTTAAAGTGGATTATATCTCTATATAATCCAGATTATCCTTTGAACTGTGTTTTTGACTAGCGTTTGCTACTGACTTTATTTTCCTGGCTAGACTCACTGAATCCAAGTGTTTCTAAACTGGTTTTGTTACTAATAAACCTTGTTTGGACCCTTTTTACTGTGTTTGGCTTCTTTAAGGCTTCTGGGTCTTGACAGGTAGAGGTTTGGTCTTTGAGATTCCTTCCAGGGGTTAATCCAAACCAGCAAAATATTCAGCTCTAGTGCACAATATTGCGCCCCAGATTCACACTGTTAATAATAATAATAATAATAATAATAATAATAATAATACTTTATTTATACCCCGCCACCATCTTCCCAAGGGGACTCGGGGCGGCTTACATGAGGCCAAGCTCAACAACACATCAGGAAAAACAAAACAGCAAGCAAATAAAACAGTACAATTAATATAACTCACATATAAACAATAACACAGAGAATTTAAAACCTTATGGCCAGGCCAGATGTAATAAATTATTTTTTTAAAAATAAACACTGGACGTGTGTTTATTTTAATATACCTGACTCAGATTGTATTGATAGCTATAGCCAGATAATTCTCCTATCCAAACTGAAATCAACACCACTCTTTTCTTTCTCTTAAGGCTTGTCTTCTTATTTTGGTGGGAGTAGCCAAGGCTACACCTACTGGCACCATCCATCCCCAACCCATCTAAAACACAGACATGTGCTTTTCATCTCAAGAACAGACAAGCATCCCGAGCTCTGAGGATCACCTGGGAAGGAACCCCACTGGAGCATTGCAGCACACCCAAATACCTGGGAGTCACTCTGGACCGTGTTCTTACCTACAAGAAGCACTGCCTGAACATCAAGCAAAAAGTGGGTGCTAGAAACAATATCATACGAAAGCTGACTGGCACAACCCGGGGATCACAACCAGACACAGTGAAGACATCTGCCCTTGCGCTATGCTACTCTGCTGCTGAATACGCATGTCCAGTGTGGAACACATCTCACCACACTAAAACAGTGGATGTGGCTCTTAATGAGACATGCCGCATTAGCATGGGGTGTCTGCGCCCTACACCACTGGAGAAATTACACTGTTTAGCCGGTATTGCACCACCTGACATCTGCCAGGAATGTAGCAGCCAATAGCGAAAGGACCAAGGCAGTGACATCTCCAGCTCATCCCCTGTTTGGGTATCAACCAGCACGTCAACGACTTAAATCTAGAAATAGTTTTCTAAGATCTACAGAGAAACTCGCTGGAACACCTCAGCAAGTGAGAGTCCAAAAGTGGCAGGCTCAAACCCAGAACCTCAACCAATGGCTGATACCAAATGAGTGATTCCCCCCTGGGCACACAGAAGACTGGGTGACTTGGAAGGCGCTGAACAGACTGCGCTCTGGCACCACGAGATGCAGAGCCAACCTCAACAAATGGGGCCACAAAGTGGAATCCACGACATGCAAGTGTGAAGAAGAGCAAACCACTGACCACCTGCTGCAATGCACCCTGAGCCCTACCACATGCACACTGGAGGACCTCCTTGCAGCAACACCAGAAGCACTCCAAGTGGCCAGTTACTGGTCAAAGGACATTTAATCAACCACCAAACTCGCAAATTTTGTATTTTGTCTGTTTGTTTGTTTTGTTCTGTTAGAAATGTAATACAATTGACTGGTTGCCCTGACACGACAAATAAATAAAAATAAATCATCCATCCCATATGAATGCTCACCCCCCTCCCTTGATCCCATAAAGGTTCCCCAGACCTTCCTGCTAAATGATCTCACATCCTACCTACCTCCTGGTCTACTAAGGTAACATCCGGCCTCATTCCTTCACAATAATGAAGGTAACGAAGAGAATTTCCTGGCAGGTCTCCTCGCAGCAGGATGATGGCATCCGGAGGCATGGAGGACAAAAGGTTTCTTGCAAAGCGATCGACAACATAGTTGTGGCTTTGGTCACAGGCACTGGGAGGAAAAAAACACATAAATTTGCCCAACGTTTATATAATGCACAGAAGACAGATCTGAGAAAGGTGCAGCCATGAGGATGTTTGGTACTTGGTTAGATCCAAAAAGATAAAACAGGTTGAGTCTTCCTTATCCGAAAACTCTAAAAACCGCTGACAGCCAACCACTTCTATCTAAGGCAGTGGTTCTCAACCTGGGGTCCCCAGATGTTTTTGGCCTTCAACTCTCAGAAATCCTAACAGCTGCTAAATTTCTGGGCGTTGTAGGCCAAAAACATCTGGGGACCCCAGATTGAGAACCACTGATCTAAGGGGAAAGGGGGCTAGGCACAAATCCAGTTCCTGATGAGATTTTCCTAAAGGAGCCCTGATGAAGGAAAGAGAAGAAGGGGAAGCTGAGGAGGACTCCTATATAAAACAGGCATGGCTACTTTGCGGACAAAGAAATTATGCTCAGAGCCAGGTACTACCTTGGATGGCTATTTATTTATGGGGGGATGACATAAGGGAAGTCTGTTGTATCCCAGAGCAGGAACACCTCTGTCCTTAAACACACAGCAGTTCAGTACAATCAGCAAGCAGTTTATTGAAGGCTATATGTAAGCAAAGCAGTAAAAATGGTAGAAAGAGTATAGTTCAATACAGTATACTCCAAAGGTAACAGATAGTCCTTGAACTTCAAGGTACAAAGGTAAAAACACAAGATCCAAGGATGCAAAATCCAGAAGAACAAGACAGCATGGAGGTCCAATACACAGAACAGGAACCTGGCAAAACTTGGAACATGAAACTAGAAATCCATATGGAACCAAGACAGTCATGAAGATCCAACGTTGATCAGACTGAGCTAAAATCCTTTCCCCGTCTCATATAAAGCTTTTCCTGTCTCATGAAACAAAAGGAAAACATTTCATTTTTCATTTCATTTCATTTTCACCGGGACTGTGGCGCAGCTGGCTGAGTGTCAGCTGCATTAAGATCACTATGACCAAAAGGTCATGAGTTCGAAGCCAGCCCGGGTTGGAGTGGGTTTCCAACCAATTTGTCAACCTTTGCAACCCGAAAGACAGTTGCATCTGTCAAGTAGGAAAATTAGGTACCACCTTAAAAAGTGTGGGGAGGCTAAATTAACTGATTTATGGAGCCATAAAGAAGACTCCAGCAAAGCATTCCGGCGGGGAAGCATGCGGAGAATGCGGAAGTGCTTCATCAGTGTCGCAGATGGATGATGAAAGCGACAGCTCCCCTGGCGGCCAGAAAAAGTTAAATAGCCTCTGTGTATGTCTGTATATGTTGTATGTCAAAAATTGGCATTGAATGTTTGCCATATATGTGTACACTGTAATCCGCCCTGAGTCCCCTGCGGGGTGAGAAGGGCGGAATATAAAAGCTGTAAATAAATAAATAAATAATACTTTGTGAAAAGGGCAAAGAAATTCTGCTCACAAGCAGGTACTACCTTGGATGGCTATTTATTTATGGGGGCATTACATAAGGGAAGTCTGTTGTATCCCAGAGCAGGAACACCTCTGTCCTTAAACACCACACCGGTTCAGTACAATCAGCAAGCAGTTTATTGAAGGATATAAGTAAGCAAAGCAGTAAAATGGTAGAAAGAGTATAGTTCAATACAGTATACTCCAAAGGTAACAGATAGTCCTTGAACTTCAAGGTACAAAGGTAAAAACACAAGATCCAAGGATGCAAAATCCAGAAGAACAAGACAGCATGGAGGTCCAATACACAGAACAGGAACCTGGCAAAACTTGGAACATGAAACTAGAAATCCATATGGAACCAAGACAGTCATGAAGATCCAACGTTGATCAGACTGAGCTAAAATCCTTTCCCCGTCTCATATAAAGCTTTTCCTGTCTCATGAAACAAAAGGAAAACATTTCATTTTTCATTTCATTTCATTTTCACCGGGACTGTGGCGCAGCTGGCTGAGTGTCAGCTGCATTAAGATCACTCTCACCAAAAGGTCATGAGTTCGAAGCCAGCCCGGGTTGGAGTGAGTTTCCAACCAATTGTCAACCTTTGCAACCTGAAAGACAGTTGCATCTGTCAAGTAGGAAAATTAGGTACCACCTTAAAGTGTGGGGAGGCTAAATTAACTGATTTATGAGGACATAAAGAAGACTCCAGCAAAGCATTCCAGCGGGGAAGCATGCGGGGAATGCGGAAGTGCTTCATCAGCGTCGCAGATGGACGATGAAAGCGACAGCTCCCCTGGCGGCCAGAAAAAGTTAAATAGCCTCTGTGTATGTCTGTATATGTTTGTATGTCAAAAATTGGCATTGAATGTTTGCCATATATGTGTACACTGTAATCCGCCCTGAGTCCCCTGCGGGGTGAGAAGGGCGGAATATAAAAGCTGTAAATAAATAAATAAATAATACTTTGTGAAAAGGGCAAAGAAATTCTGCTCACAAGCAGGTACTACCTTGGATGGCTATTTATTTATGGGGGCATTACATAAGGGAAGTCTGTTGTATCCCAGAGCAGGAACACCTCTGTCCTTAAACACCACACCGGTTCAGTACAATCAGCAAGCAGTTTATTGAAGGATATAAGTAAGCAAAGCAGTAAAATGGTAGAAAGAGTATAGTTCAATACAGTATACTCCAAAGGTAACAGATAGTCCTTGAACTTCAAGGTACAAAGGTAAAAACACAAGATCCAAGGATGCAAAATCCAGAAGAACACGAAAGCATGGAGGTCCAATACACAGAACAGGAACCTGGCAAAACTTGGAACATGAAACTAGAAATCCACATGGAACCAAGACAGTCATGAAAATCCAACAGTTTGTAACGAAATGCAAAGATACAAAATGGGGGACAATGCCTGGCTCGAGGGCAGTACGTGTGAAAAAGATCTTGGAGTCCTCGTGGACAACAAGTTAAACATGAGCCAACAATGTGATGTGGCGGCAAAAAAAGCTAATGGGATTTTGGCCTGCATCAATAGGAGCATAGTGTCTAGATCTAGGGAAGTAATGCTACCCCTCTATTCTGCTTTGGTTAGACCACACCTGGAATATTGTGTCCAATTCTGGGCACCACAATTCAAGAGAGATATTGACAAGCTGGAATGTGTCCAGAGGAGGGTGACTAAAATAATCAAGGGTCTGGAGAACAAGCCCTATGAGGAGTGGCTTAAGAGCTGGGCATGTTTAGCCTGAAGAAGAGAAGGCTGAGAGGAGACATGATAGCCATGTATAAATATGTGAGAGGAAGTCATAGGGAGGAGGGAGCAAGCTTGTTTTCTGCTACCCTGGAGACTAGGACGTGGAACAATGGCTTCAAACTACAAGAGAGGAGATTCCATCTGAACACGAGGAAGAACTTCCTGACTGTGAGAGCCATTCAGCAGTGGAACACTCTGCCCCGGAGTGTGGTGGAGGCTCCTTCTTTGGAAGCTTTTAAACAGGGACTGGATGGCCATCTGTCAGGGGTGATTTGAATGCAACATTCCTGCTTCTTGGCAGGAAGTTGGACTGGATGGCCCATGAGGTCTCTTTCAACTCTTTAATTCTATGATTCTATGATCAGACTGAGCTAAAATCCTTTCCCCATCTCATATAAAGCTTTTCCTGTCTCATGAAACAAAAGGAAAACCATCCCCTGCCATTTTTTTGTAAGTATACCTCTGTTAACAATGCCTCTGACAAAGTCTTTTTACACTTATTTATTTATTTAAAACATTTATATTCCGCCCTCTCACCCCGAAGGGGACTCAGCGCGGAGCACAGCATATACACGGCAAACATTCAATACCGGGATACAAATTCACATACAACACATAAACATTAAAAAACATTTATAAAAATATTAAAATTATTTATTTATTTATTTATCGTGTCAGTAGCAACCAGACAATATTAAAAATACACCATTTAAAACCACCCTAGTCATCTGCATCAAATCTAATTGGCCTGGTCATCTTTCCTATTGCCGCTTTATTGCCCTGTCCTGAAAGCTTGGTCCCACAGCCAAGTTTTTACCATCCTTCTAAAGGACAGGAGGGAGGGGGCCGACCTGATCTCACCAGGAAAGGAGTTCCATAGCTGGGGAGCAATCACCGAGAAGGCCCTGTCTCTCGTCCCCACCAATCGTGCCTGTGACAATGGCGGGACGGAAAGCAGGGCCTCCCTGGATGGTTCATAGGGGGAGATGCGTTTGGACAGGTAATTTGGGCCGGGGCCTTTAGGGCTTTATAGGCCAAAGCCAGCACTTTGAATTGTGCCCGGTAGCAAACTGGCAGCATGTGGAGCTGGCGTAACATGGGAGTTGTATGCCGCTCCAGTTATTAACCTGGCTGCCTCTCGTTGGACTATTTGAAGCTTCCAAGCAGTCTTCAAAGGCAACCCCATGTAGAGTGCATTGCAGTAGTCTATCCTAGGTGTAACGAGAGCGTGGACCACCGTGGCCAAGTCTGACTTTCCTCCTCAACCTCTTATCTAACTGGAACTTTTTTAGCAGCATTAACACTGAGAGAATGATGGAAAAGGACCAGACAAACAGACTTTTGGTGTCCATTTGCTGCAGTGTGTCTGCAGTAATAGCAAGGCTTGAGCTAACAAAGAATGGTGTAAGAACATAACATCTTTTTCATGGTATTTTTTTGTTAACGAAGTAATGCCCAGGAATGTATCTACTTTGTTCAAATACCTGTAGTTGGAGTAGATTTGCACAGTGACGAGCAGAGTGGCCAAGAGCCATTCCAGGTTGTGAATCAGTCGGTTGTTTTCAACTAAACTTTCTCCCAGAGAGAAAAGGGAGGAGAAACCAATGCCAGCCAAAACTGCCAGTACTGCATTACTCTGCATCCAAAATCGCTCGACCTGTGAAATAAACATACAGTGTGTAGAGCACAAGTGGTAGGGTTGAATGAGCTTTTCCACTATATCTACACACACACACACACACACGACTTGAATGAAAAGTAATGCCTCCACCTTCGTAACTCCTCAACAGATGGTAGTACCGGTATGCAACAGGTATTGGCTTGTTCAGTAGACTCTCCTCTACAGTTCCATTTTGGCGGGAAGCCTTAGCATTGAACGATTGTGTTGCTAAAGTGTGAAGTATGGAACCCTGCACAGTCTGTCAATGTCATTGAATTCTTGACAGCAGAAGGTGTCACCCCAAAGTAGATTCATCAGAGAATGCAAGCTGTTTATGGTGATTGTGTTGATGTGAGTACTGTGCATCGTTGGGCGAGTAAGTTTCAAGATGTTGAACATCTGACTTGCGTGACAAAGAAAGAGTTGGACGTCCTGTGACAGCAACCACCGGGTTTCACAAGCTAAAGGTTGACAGGTTGACAGGTTTCTACTACATGTGGTGGTCATGTGAGAAAGTAAAGAATTACTGGAAAATGATTCACTCGGAATGCAAAAAAATTCTAAAAATAGAGATCCCACTAAAACCAGAAATGTATCTACTGGGGATGTTTGATGCAGAAATTTTTAAAGACAAAAATAAGGAAAAGCTCTTTACCTTCTTTGCTACAGCTGCATGAATAGTGTACGCTAAGGTATGGAAACAAGAGAAAATACCTACAAAAATGGACTGGATTGGAAAAATAAAAGACATTAAGGATACGGATGAACTAACATATTGGTTAAGGCAACACAATGGACGAGCAACAAACCCAACAGATTGGATGGTTCTACAGGAATACATAGAAAGAAAAGACTGGTTAACTTAATAGAAATAAGAGAGATAGTAATAATAATTATGGCTGTCTCTTTTTGAACAGAAATAACTACTCAGATGAATGACTGATAAGAGAGAGAAAGACTAGAAATATAGATAATTGATTAAGTAAGAAGAATGGAGGTCACTATAGGGTGTAGGTGGAGGGGATGGGTGATGAGGTTTGATTGCTGGGTTCGTTGGTTTATTAATTTTTTATTTGTTTGTGTTTCTGGTTTTGTGTGTGTTGTTTTTACTGTATACTTGTCGAAAATCAATAAAAATTAAAAATAAAAAGTTGACAGGTTGATTCAGGACAATGGTCGTATCACTCAAAGAGAAATTTCAAGCATAATCTGAATTTCACAAGAACATGTGGGTCACATTATTGCTTTGCTTGGCTATTGGAAGATCTCTGCACGATGGGTACCCAGGATGCTGACGCCTGAAATGAAAGTGCACAGACTTGAAATTTGCCAGGAACTCCTCTCACGTTACAAGAATGAAGGTGACGCCTTTCTCCATTCAATTGTGACAGGAGTCGAAACATGGGTACACCATTACGATCTGAACTTTGAAACGATGGCTAACAAGGGTCCGAAAGGAAAAGGGAAATGTTTTCCTGCAGAATGATAATGCCAGACCACACACTTCACATGCCACCACTGCAGAACTTCAGAGACTGGATCTCACCACCGTATGGCATCCTCCATACAGTCCAGATTTAGCACCGTCTGACTTCCATCTGTTCCTGATAATGAAAGAAGATGTGCGGGGACATCATTATGCTTCTGATGAAGATGTTGAGAGAACTGTCGGACGCTGGTTGCGAAAACAGAGTGTCAACATCTTCCATAACAGCTTCAAAAAACTTGTTGATCATTGGCAGAAATTTATTATTATTATTTATTACGGTCGCTTATACCCCGCCCTTCTCACCCCGGGGGGGGGGGGGGACTCAGGGCGGCTTACACAAGCAAGGCACAGTTCAATGCCCGCATTACATGACAACAAAAACACAACATCAGTTAACGACAGCAATTATAGCAGTGATAACAATTAACATAAGCAATAATTATTATCGACAAAACAACCATAAAACCCGTAAAAGCAATAAAAACAATAAAAGCAATACAAACCTCATTGCTGGTCAGCGTTTAACAGACTCATAGTTTAGGTTCTACTACCACACATTATCGGTCCTATCCATCTGGATTCCATATCTAATTGTCAAGATGCCCAAAGGCCTGGTCCCATAGCCACGTCTTTACCTTCCTCCTGAAGGCAAAGAGGGTTGTAGATGCCCTGATTTCCCCCGGGAGTGAGTTCCACAGGTGGGGGGCCACCACTGAGAAGGCCCTGCTCCTCGTCCCCACCAGCCTCACTTGTGATAGCGGTGGGGTCGAGAGCAGGGCCTCCCCAGATGATCTCAGATTCCGGGGTGGGACGTAGAGGGAGATACGTTCGGACAGATACGCTGGACCGGAACCGTAAAGGGTTTTGTAGGTCAAAACCAGCACCTTGAATTGTTCTCCAACTATCCAATTATCCAAATGTATCCAATTATCTGGTGATTATGTGGAAAAGTGAATAGTTGTAGTTAAAGAGCACATTCTAAGGCTTATTTCTGCATTTGATTTATTAAAAGATTCCCATCCAAACCCAAGCAATGAAGGTGGAGGCATTACTTTTCATTCAACCCTCGTATATAGTAATATAACAATAATATATAGTGTAGCAGTATTTGAAAATGCCAAGAAGGTTCGGCCTTCCAAAAATATAATTATTGCCTCATTCAAAACTTACTTATGAACTATATTCATTGATTTAATGTATATGCTTTTTTTCTCTCTTCCACAGCAGGACCCAAGGCGACTTATAAAACAAACTCTACACATTTCGGTGGGAAACGCCTCCCTCTGTGAAAACATTTTACTTGCCAAATGTGAACTCACCACTCCCTTAAACAGAGGCTTTGAAATATCAAGGTTCGCTCTCCAAGCAAAGAAAAGTGAATATGCCAAGAGCATCAACGTAAAAAGCCAGACCAGATGCTGCTTCCCCACTTTTGGCCTAGAAGAATGAAACAAACAGGATTAGGGGGAAATGGGGTTGAGGGAGACTCATTAGAAAAGCTGCAAATATGAGCCGAGTTTTCGTCAAGAAACTGCTGGCCATTCAATACATTTCACCTATATAGTCAGTCCTCCATATTAGGAGGGGTGCAAGACTCTGCAAAAATGGAAAACCTACAAATAAAATTAAAAATACTTCTCTAGGAATTTCTAGGCCCTACAGCACAACTCTACTCAACTTTCAGTCAAAGTCTACCATGCGGTTGGATTGGAAGATCTAGAGATTCCTAAAGAAACCATATTAATCAAATCCATGGGATAATCAGGTATGCAAGGCATGGTCAGACTCCACTTGGAGGCACACAGCAATAATCATCGTCATCATCATAGAATCATAGAATCAAAGAGTTGGAAGAGACCTCATGGGCCATCCAGTCCAACCCCTGCCAAGAAGCAGGAATATTGCATTCAAATCACCCCTGACAGATGGCCATCCAGCCTCTGTTTAAAAGCTTCCAAAGAAGGAGCCTCCACCACACTCCGGGGCAGAGAGTTCCACTGCTGAACGGATCACAGTCAGGAAGTTCTTCCTCATGTTCAGATGGAATCTCCTTTCTTGTAGTTTGAAGCCATTGTTGTTGGCTATTGTTCTGTTTTCCATGCCAAAGGAGCCTACTCCCTGTGGCTTCTTCTCACATATTGATCCATGGCCCTCATCATGTCTCCTCTCAGCCTTCTCTTCTCAGGCTAAACATGCCCAGCTCCTTAAGCCGCTCCTCATAGGGCTTGTTCTCCAGACCCTTGATCATTTTAGTCGCCCTCCTCTGGACACATTCCAGATTGTCAATATCTCCCTTCAATTGTGGTGCCCAGAATTGGACACAATATTCCAGGTGTGGTCTAACCAAGGCAGAATAGAGGGGTAGCATTACTTCCCTAGATCTAGACGATATGGTCCTATTGATGCAGGACAAAATCCCATTGGCTTTTTTGCCACCACATGACATTGTTGGCTCATGTTTAACTTTCCATGAGGACTCCAAGATCTTTTTCACACGTACTGCTCTTGAGCCAGGCCTCTTCCCCCATTCTGTATCGTTGCATTTTGTCTTTTCTGCCTAAGTGGAGTATCTTGCATTTGTCACTGTTGAACTTCATTTTGTTAGTTTTGGCCCACCTCTCTAATCTGTCGCTGTAAAAAGATCCTATGGAATGCCCTCCCCAGGGATATAAGATTGGCTCCCTCCCTTCTAACATTCCGCAAAATGGTTAAGACCTGGCTCTTCAAGCAAGCTTTTCCTACTGGAGACGAAAACGAATATAAGGAACGACTGACAATGCAATTGGACAACTATTTTAGTAAGGAGACGCTGAGGATTTTGTTTTTACAGGCAGTATTGTTTCTTTTATATCACATTTTGCATGTTTTAATTGTTTTTATAATTGTTTTAACTGTATTTTGATAATTGTTATGGCATCGAATTGCTGCCGACTTTTATTTATTTATTTATTGTGTCAGGAGCAACCAGACGTTTGTATTACATTTTTAACATAACAAACAAACAAACAGATAAAATGCAGAGTTTGCAAGCTTGGTAGTTGATTAAATGTCCTTTGACCAGTAGCTGGCCACTTGGAGTACCTCTGGTGTTGCCAGAAGGAGATCCTCCATGTGCATGTGGCAGGGCTCAGGTTGCATTGCAGCAGGTGGTCTATAGTTTGCTCTTCTCCCCACTCGCATGTTGTGGATTCCACTTTGTAGCCCCATTTCTTAAGGTTGGCTCTGCATCTCGTGGTGCCAGAGCGCAGACTGTTCGGCGCCTTCCAAGTTGCCCAGTCTTCTGTGTGCCCAGGGGGGAGTCTCTCATTTGGTATCAACCATTGATTGAGGTTCTGGGTTTGAGCCTGCCACTTTTGGACTCTCGCTTGCTGAGGTGTTCCAGCGAGTGTCTCTGTAGATCTTAGAAAACTATTTCTAGATTTAAGTTGTTGACGTGCTGGCTGATATCCAAACAGGGGATGAGCTGGAGATGTCTCTGCTTTGGTCCTTTCACTATTGGCTGCTACTTCCTGGCAGATGTCAGGTGGTGCAATATCAGCTAGATGGTGTAATTTCTCCATTGGTGTAGGGCGCAGACACCCCGTGATGATGCGGCATGTCTCATTAAGAGCCACATCTACTGTGTTAACATGGTGAGATGTGTTCCACACTGGGCATGCATACTCAGCAGCAGAGTAGCATAGCACAAGGGCAGATGTCTTCACTGTGTCTGGTTGTGGTCCCCAGGTTGTGCCAGTCAACTTTCATATGATATTGTTTCTAGCACCCACTTTTTGCTTGATGTTCAGGCAGTGCTTATTGTAGGTCAGAACGTGGTCCAGAGTGACTCCCAGGTATTTGGGTGCGCTGCAATGCTCCAGTGGGATTCCTTCCCAGGTAATCCTCAGAGTTCGGGATGCTTGTCTGTTCTTGAGATGAAAGCCACATGTCTGTGTTTTAGATGGATTAGGGATCAGTTGGTTTTCCCTGTAATAGACAGTAAGAGCACCTAGAGCTTCGGAGAGCTTCTGTTCAACCATCTCAAAGCTCCCTGCTTGAACGGTAATGGCACGATCATCAGCATAGATGAAACTCTCTGTCCCTTCTGGCAGTGGCTGGCCATTTGTGTAAATGTTGAACATGGATGGGGTGAGCACGCTCCCCTGAGGGAGGGAGGCCGTTCTTCTGTTTCCGCCATCTGCTTCTCTGGCCCTGGAACTCAACAAAAAAGCTCCTGTTTTGTAGCAGGTTTCCTATGAGGCGGGTGAGGTGGTAGTCCTTTGTGATATTATACATTTTTCTCAGGAGGAGGCGGTGGTTCACAGTATCATAGGCTGCTGACAGGTCTATGAGACAGCTCCTGTGATCTGCTGCCTTTCAAAGCCATCTTCTATGTGCTGAGTCAGGTTCAACACTTGCGATGTGCAGCTTTTGCCTTTTCTGAAGCCAGCTTGCTGTGGGATCAGACATGGGTCTATTTTTTCCGTAATTCTATGCAAAATAAGTCTCTCCAGAACTTTGTAGAGGTGGCACAACAGGGAGATTGGTCTGTAGCCTCTGGATGAGAAAGGCGGTATACAAATGCAGTAAATCAATCAATAAATAAATAATGATGATGATTAATAGGGCTGGGCGGTTTCGTTTCGTTAATTCGTAA